TGCCAAGTCACCAGCCCTTGGTTAAGTGGGAAAGATATGGTCAAGAAAGCAGCATTAGTGAAAGCACAAAACCCCAAACCAGCCAAGGGTAGAATAAGCTTTTCAGGTTGTGAATCACAGTAAGAGCAGGAACAAAAGCAAAGAAAGGTCATTTCCCCTTTCTAATGCCCTACAGTTACAAAACAGACAAGAAGTGGCATTTTCAGCACAGCAATACTATTCAGAGTACTGTCTCAAACCATTTTAGAACCAATGCTCTGGCGTTATCAGGAGCTCAGAAGTTCCCTCCATCTGATGAGCCCCAGCACGGTGGCACAGGCACACGGCTGCCCTCCCACCCCAGCAGAAAGGTTATTTATTACTGAGCCTGAGCCTCGGCAAAGGCACAGAGATACCCCCTTGCAGAACATTGCCCTGTTCTTCAACAGGGCATGGCTGCTTGGGCAAAACGCCACTAGAGAGAAAATAATTTCCAGTAGGCAGCACAACCAGAGACAGCAAGTCATACTCAACTTTAACGCCCTGCCTCCTCCAGCACCTGCGTGCTTTAAGGAGGTAAGTGTGGTTTTTACAGGTGGCCATGGTACCAACTTTCCTCACCCTCAAACCCTGCACAGTCAGGCCATTAAGCAGCAACGAGGTATCCCAAACACGATTCACTAGGTTGGAGATGAGGCTGTTAAATGGCATCAGTATATTTTTTATGGTCAGTTTGCAGAGTTGCCGCTTCTTCAACGCCCTCACGTCGTGCCAACAGATTCTCTACGGTCCATGCCAATGCCCTCTGCATGCCAACAGATTCTCTGTGCTGCTCTGCGGGAAGGACCACAGCTCCTCCCAGAAGAGCAGAAACCATCTCATGGTTTGCCACTCACCTCCTGCTCACTGCCAAACTCTCTGGAAACCTCTGCCACGTTTTCATGCAGCAGACAGACGTGTCCACCAAAGCTTTTTGGTCAAAAGGGAGGAAAAGGCAAATTCAATTGGCCCAAGCCACAACAGGGACAGGCAATTTTAGCCGAGTCCATTCGGTTCACAACAGTTCTGGTGTGACCTCCCAGCCTGGCCAGGTCAGGTACAAATCCATGCTAACCACTATTCCCAGTTTTTCTCCTGAGAACAAAATTTTTCCAACTCGTTCACGTGTTGCAACGATGACCATGCGAGTCCCTTCAACCAGGCTTTGAGGGCGGAGGGAAGGCTGTGCTGGAGAACCAAACCGAAAGCACCTGTGGGAGCTACAGAGGATCAGATCATACTTTGGGAGGAAAACTGTTACAAAATTGCTGTATTAAATCACAAGTGGAGAAACAAGAGGAAAACCATTTGTAAAGACCACCTTCTGTTTAAGGCTTTTTCCCCCTGAGTAAGTAAGGTCAGAGAAGCTGCTCTTCCCATCCTAGCTCAGGCCAGGAGAATTATTAGGACAATTTTGAGAGCAATTTGGTTCTGTTTATTTAACTGAGAGTTCGCCTCATGTTCTGCGGGGCATTTCTTTTCCTGACACGTGAAAGACATGCTGCCTTCCATAAAAGATACGCACGCAGAAGTATGTAAAATAAATGATATGTAAAATAGAGATCTGTATAGAATAAAGATCTATATAAAGTGCACGCACACACAAAGTTTCCAAGACCTTCCAAGCTAGAACTGCAAAAGCTGGAGAGAGCTCTGTGCTGAATCCTCTGAGGAAGACAGTCTCTATGAACACATAATTTCAAACATACTCCAAGAAGTTTCATTTCATGGCATTTTAGATGTTACTTTCCAAAAAATCAGCCTTCACAGATGAGAAATAATCAAAGAGCGCATGACTGGGAAATTATAAACAGCTCCACCAAGGACAAGAATTTAGGAGATACACATGGCACTTTAGTAACTTTTCCTGCCTACCTCCAGTGCCAGTCATCTCCCTTGTGCCACCATGGAGTAAGAGATTTGCAAGTTCCACATGCTGCAGATACTTAAGTCACTAATGATCCTAAAACATTAATCTCCTAACACTGTATGCTGCCACAGCGGTTCTGGAGAACTTTTCACCTTCTTACAACGAGACTTACACAAGATACCCAAATTGCACACACCCTGTTCATGGATGCTCCTTCTCCTTGCTTCCATTCACCGTGCTGGCACTGCCACCAGTGCCAAGCACCAGCTGCCCCGAGCTCCTCACTGGGAGGAGACGCAGTCCCACGGCCAGGCCAGGACCTGGATGTTCTGCAACCCTCCTTCCACAGAAAACTCAGAATCTTGCTTCTCAGCAGCATTGGTTCAATCACATCCTCACTGCAGGAATTATACACAATTATTATTTATAGGGCTAAGCCGTACCTATTTTTATTATGCAATGTCACAAATTTGTATTCAACAGAAGCTCAGTTTTCAGATGTGCCAACGATGATGCATTTCCATTACTTTGAACTAGCCTCACCTTTCCACTTTGCTTCCTTCGCAGGTTTCCATTTTAAATAATAAGAACACTGTCAATGTCACACCTCCGCAGCTGCATATTTGAACGTGGAACTGTGCAACACTTGAAAGGGATTCAAAAGGAAAGGCCTTGTGGAGGCTTTTGCCTGGTAATCAGTTTAAGTGACACACTGATTCTGCGATCTCCACATCTAGAGCGAGCACGGATAAACAACCCTGCAAAGGAAGAATCTGTCTCCTGGACATCTCTCCTCTCCGCAGCCTGCAAGATAGGCCATGTATTCAAACCCATTATTAGCCTTCCCCTGCAGACCCCCACCCAAAAAGCAAACAAAACTCATCTCTTAAAGCCAAAAGAGATCAAGCACATGGGGCTTGGCTGGTCATATACCGCCGAGTCAGCACAGCTGGAATTGATGGAGCTCAGCCCGGAGAAAGAGGAAAGCTTGCTTCTACTTGTGTAACTAATGGAGGGACATGAGCAGACATACCAGAGAGTGTCCTGGAGAAGGTAGGAGAGATGGAAGACTTAGGTTATTCATTCATGTGGCAGCAAGCACACTGCATTTTTTCTTCTCTCTCAAAACATCCTTAGTCTTGAGACCACGCCAGTCGTGCACCCAACTATTCCCCAAGAAGTACTTCACCTCCCAGGTTACATTGCTCTTTCTTTTTTTTTATTGCACTGTTCCCTACAGCTCTGTGAGACCATTATAGTCACGCTTCTGCAATACACTTCAAAAAATAAGGACGGGCCACTTCACACAGATCTGAAAGGTGACAAGAGACCTCCATTAGTGTGGAAGCACCTCTAGAGAAAATTATGCTTTATTATGGTTAACCAAGCAGCACCAAAACATGTCTGACAACATAATATTTAAATACAGACAATACATTCTGGTTGTTAATCATAATGCTGGTTTCTGAACATTTGGATTCGGTTCCTGTGTATACCACAGGCTGTTTGACCTTCTGCAAGTCCCTCTGTCTCCTCACCATTAATAAGGGGACAAAGTGTGTATTTATCTTCATGCTCACAACTCAAACACAGCCAAACAGGTTTTTATTTGAACTTTCCCAAATCAATTCACCTTTAGAACAAAACAATTTAGCTTAGAAGGGAGATTGCTGAAGAAGTTGTTTATATATAAACTAAAAATAGTGATTTCAGATGGCGTGTCCAGCTCAGGCTTTAGTTAAGCGCGGCTTACATGACACACTAATAGCCTATCTACAGCCAAGGCCAAGTTTTGCAGATTCATCACCGCCCTATTAGTCATTATCTCACTTTAAACGAACCCCCTACTTGAGACGTCAACAAAAAATCATTTGTTCAGTGCAAAAGTACTTGTTGCAAACAAGTTGTTGTTAAATGCTATTTTTTCTCCTACTGCAATCAGTTTTCCAATACTTTTGAGGATTACATGTATTTTGTATTTCTGCCTAAATATCTAGTATGCTTTTGAAAGCATCCCTCAGGGCTGAGCTAATAAAGAAAACAACATACATACAGAGAACTGTCATTATTACAGGGTCAAACACTAATGCAGTCTTTACTCAAGAGATTGCAAATTATGCTTCAATGCAAGCAAGAGAAATCTTCCCAAATCACTGAATCGCGCCATGCAACCTATGAATAAATTACTAGACCTGAAAAGATTATAGATAGCAGTTTATGATCATCTTGTAAGCATGAACCAAAGAGAACCAAACAACAAGCTGTTCGCAGAACAACCTAAAGCAATTCTCTCATACTTGCTACAACACGGAGAGCAAAGCAGCTTGAATGTGGACCAAATTGCTTGCTCATGACTTGGGCATCCTCCCTCAAATGTGGCAGCACAGAGGGCATCTTTATGACTTACACTCAAGTAGGATCTTAGATGGGGCCCCAAATAAGCTTGCCAGCCTCAAACACAATATTTCTGTTAAAAATCATGGTCAGTCAAATCTATTCAGAAGACAAAAGAGTACTTTTCCGTAACTAGACAAGAGCCCTTTGTTCAGCCGCTGAGCCTTACTAAAGCCTGTAATTCTTTGCCATAAGGAAAATGTTTGAACTGGTCAATGGCAAAAGTCAATTTGGTGAGATAATGTAATTAATAAATGCCATCCATATGCCTCCGCTTGATGTTTTGTAAAGACAACTGGCCATGAAGAGCAGGGCAAACGGAGAGCTCTGCAAACGACTGCCTGCTCCGTGGGGAGCTCAGCTGCTGCAGGGAGGAACAAGCTCTTCTCCAGGCTCAGGATTCCCTGCCAAACCACCGTATTCCCCACCAAGGACAGCAGGTAGCTCTCTACCATCCTCTCTGGAGGAATTAGATCGCAGCTGTGTGTTTGAAGCAGAGCTTTTCATAACTCACACCTCTGCTAGCCAAGAAATTAGGCTTTGACCTCTGCTAGTCAAGAAATTAGGCCTTGATCTGGTCATCCTGAGATTACACTTAAAGATTAGGACCACAGAGACTCAGATCCGTCAAAACTTCAAACAAACCCAAGGCTTACAGCTCATTCTCCAAAGTCCACCATCTTTATCCCATTAGCTGCAGCAATTGCCTCAAACCTACCACAGAGGTATCATCTGCCCAAGAACCACAATCCCAGTACCCGACTTCAAACCCCGAGATATTTGTCCTGACTTGTTCTTGAAGACGAGGCTCTCATCTACTTCCTCGATAAGGATCTAGAAAAAAATGCAGCAAAAACATCTCTGCACTTTAGGCTCAGCTGAATATTAAGTCAGTTCCAATGCAGACCTCGGGGCTAAGATATTAAAAAGAGAAACTGCTTCAGTGTTTGATCTCAGGTCAAGAATCATCTGTTCTTTAATTTTTAAAAGATAATCTAACCTGGGAGGGAAACCTATTCCCAGAAAGTGGCTCCCGACAACATCCAGATAAGGGGCGGCTTCACTGCAGCACCAGAATCGCAATACCCGAGCCTGGTAGCAAAACCCAGAGCTCCCCTGAATTTCCAGTGCAGGGCAGTGCAGGCAGCTGTTGGATGGGAGCACCCAGATGTTCAGCCAAAGCAAGGGAAGCAGCCATGGCAGATGCTGCTGGCTGATTCCAGGCGCTGCCAAGCCACAAAAAACCAACGGAATGGACGGCTATTTATTAATTCCACAGTGAGAAGAAAAAGCGCACGTGAGTTAAGGAAGGGTGAAAATAAATCAAGACTAAAAAAATTTCCTACCTTTCTTCGGAACTTACTTGGCAATGCAGATTTAACAGGCTTAGGAGACACACGCACGGCATATAAATCTGAAATGCCACCTATCTCTTCAGCCCTTCTCCCTTCTCCTCTAATTACTATCTCCAAAGGCGAGCTGCATTTTTCAAAAAACCAGCATTCCTCCTCTCCAACACACTATTAATTTTCCAAATTCCAAAAGCAAAGTAACCATTAGAAACAAATGCAGGAAAATTATAGCATTGTGCTTCTAAAATACTAAATATTTCTGAAAAATGTACCAAATGTTACCCTTGGATCATCCTTCAATAACTACACTCATGCCAACAAATCAGTGCTCAGATGCTTACAGAAGAACCAGAAAGACCACCCAGTTGATGCTGATGCCCCAGTGCTCTCTTTTACTGAAAGCCTAAAAACCAACCCCCCACGCACACTGCTGATGTGAAGCAACATCTCCGGACTCCAGGAAACTCACTGAGGAAGAGGAGGGCCGCGATTAACCTTCGGTTAAGAGAGCAGCACTATAACCCCGTGGTACGCAGGACAACCTGCTAGCCAGCAAAGTTTCCCAACACGCGCTTGGGCTCGCAGGGAGGATTAGACCGACCATCACACCAGCTCTGGAAAACCACTCGTCCCACTGCTGCGAACCAGGATGAAACGGAAAGGTTTATCAGCCTCTTCCAAATGGGAGCTGGCAAGCACAGCTGGATACTTGGCGCGGGCCTCTGGTGCTATTAAAGTCAGCAAGAGCCGACTCTCGCTATCGTCAGGACTGGACCCAACCTTTTAAAAGGCTCATCAGGCCTCTCGCTTACAGAGTTTACCTTTTCTTCCCAGCGGTTTCATGTCGCTCCCTCTCCCAAAAGCAAACCAGGAGACCTTCAAGGTAGCTAAAAAGTGTATTTTTTGCCATTCAGCCAAGCCTGAATCCCCCCATGTCCTTCCAGGCCCGCCAGGGTTAGCGGAGCCCACTCGAATCCGACGTCTCACCGCATGCTGCGCTGATGGCAGCAAACCGCCCCGCAAGCCCTGGCTGCCATCCGACAGCTTTGATGTGGGCAAGGCTTGCCACCACGTGTGGGTTAGCATAACAGGTCAGGCTCCCCCTCACCCTCTGCATCCCCACCGTGTCCCCAAACGCCTGCTCCCCCAGGGGAGATGGCACAGCGCACCGGAGCGCATCCGCGGCGTGAGAGCCCATGTCAGGGCACACAGAGCACGCACCCAGCACCGACAAACCGCTCCCAGGTTCAGCCGCAGGTCTCATTTCCAGCACATTTTTAACATGGCTTGGTCTGCCCCAGTAAAGGGGTTTGTTGGTTACGTGAAGCAAACACAGGGAACTCCCTGCTTGAGGCAACAAAATCTCCTGCTGCCTTCCCCTCCCCTGCTCAAAAAACCTCCTGGATAATTTGCTTCATCGGAAGCAAGATTTTTACCTTACAGCTTTGCCTAGATGATAATAATAAATCACAGAATCAAACAAAGGAGAAGAAATTTAGAGCTAAAACTACTTCACAGTGCTCTGGAGAGGTAGCAGGTTTTTTAAGCATCCATATAAAATTCCTCTTATGACCAGGACAGCCTTCTACAGAGACGACAGATTTGGCATCTATCTTTTCCCAGAGACCAGTCTACAAAATCCTACCTTAAGGGACCATGTAGCTGCTGCCAGACACAGTGAAAAGAAAAAAAAAAGGGGGGGGCGGGAAGGGGAAAGAAAAGGATAAAACCCACCCTCCTTTTACTTCTCCAATCTCTCCACAACTTTCTGGCAGCAGCAAGGGTGCTACACCAGGGCCAGGCAGGCTCCCGGCCACCTCACTTGCTCTCCCCCCGGCCCCTCAAACTGCGCTGCCCCGGTGCACCCCGACAACCCCCCTCACGCTGCCGCCGCGTGTTCATCCTAAGGCAAAAACCCCATAAAACTTAATACTTCAGTAATTACTGTGGCAGTTTAATAGTTACTACACCATCAGAGAACTTTCTAATAACAGCATTTCTATAAAATTAAAGTATATTGGAGCTCATTAGCCAAGGGTGTTTCTGCAGCGCAGTTATACTTAGCGGAAACAGGAGTCAGTGTTCTACACAACCCTTTTTTAATTAGTCCTTAAGAAAAGTGTTTTGCAATTGTATCCTTAGAAATCCCTAATGACGAGCCAGATTTCATGAAGGCTGTGACTGGGCTAATTTTATACAATAGCTACACAACTTCAAAAGTTAACCCAAGCTAGTGACATTATTTAGTTCAGTGGAGCAGCTCATTTTAATTGGATTAAATTGTCATGGTTTTTTAATTTCGCACCGAAACCTCGCTTTGTTATTTCCTAATATTTGCCCGAAGACTGCAACCGTGTCATTTGCACGCCCCCTTCCCTCAGGACAATCTCAGATCCACCGATGGAGAAGGCTAAAAACCCCTGGCCAAGCTTCCCCGGCTCCCTGCCGCCGACGGGCGGGAGCGCTTCGCCGGAGAGCGGCTTTTCCAGAGGTGCGAATCCCCGCAACCGAGTTAATGGCATTAAGCAGCGGGCCCCGCTTAGCAAGCACACTCGTGGCTGGGAAGCAGCGCGGACGGCGGCACGACCCCCGCGCCCCGCAATTCTGAAAAGTAGTTAGCCATTATTAAACGGTTCCTGTCTTTGTTCCGGAAGTGGTGTCATTCCAGTGCCCTGCCTTCTCTGTACCTGTCTGTTCCCTGTCTTAGTTACACGTTCTTCCGTGTATCTGCTTTTAGCAGTTTAAGATCCTTGGGGCAGGCCATCCAATGGGTCACACTGATGCTCTGAGCCGGTTTCAGTAGCATCTTACTCTGTCAGTGGTCCCACGGAAGCCAGCTAGGCTATTGCTGGTGCTGTTCAAGTAAAGATATCATCACAATTTGCAGCCAAATGACTGTGGAGCATTTCAACACTACTGGAAAATAAACAGTTGTAAGCAATAATATTATTTCTAAGAGAAAACTAATGCTGAGTATCCTTTAACGCTCTCATCCTCAGTTAGGACTCCTGGATCTGTTCATGCCATAAAATGTTCTTGTTCAAGAGCTTTGAGAAAACCCCACTAGAAAATACTGCAGTTGCACATATGCCAGACCTAACCTAACTGGCTTATGATGTACTGGGGCTTCAAAAAAGCATAGGGACAGCACACATCCAAAGCTCACTTAACTCCACAGCTTTTTTGTCTCCTCTCTCTTATTATTTAATTATTCCAGAGTTGTTCCCAAGGAACAAACCCTGCAGCAGTGAAACACATTCAATTACAGGCGGACTAATCTGAATAAACATGTGCTAAAACCTTATTCCTGAGAACCCCCTCTACAAATGAAGCATCCAGCCCTGATTAGCTCCTCCTCCTCGCGTGCAGGGGAGGAAGACAGTAGCTGATTGCAAGGGAATGGGCGGCACGGCCACCCATAGGGCCAAGCACACTGAAAGCCCGAGCTTCACCTGCCACCACCTTGCTACGGAGCAGCACGCCCAATGGTGGAGGAGCCCCTGACGCTTCAGTCCTCGAAAGAGCACCGCTCTGTCGGCATCTTGCTTCATGAAGGGAAAATCTACAGAATAAGCCTGTTTCTGTAATTATAATGATATGCTTTATCATTCCTTTGCAACTCAATGTAAACACCTTAGGTGCTGTGCCAGAGAAAGTAGCCTTTTCTCTGAAAGCCTCCTGGCAACAATCGAAGGGCTGGTGTTTACGCTGGGAGCAGCAACAAAGTCAGCTTTGCAGGGTGGAAAACATGAGCAGCGCCGCCGGCCGAGCGGGCGAGGGCTGGCCCGGTATAAAAGCGGGGACGTGGAAAGGCTCCCTCTCTTCCAGGGAAATCTGGCCGCTGCCGCGTGTTTTCAGCGCTCTGCCGCCGGATTTCGCACCGCTGCTCCGCGCCAGCCCCCCGAGTTAGCCCGGGTGTCGGAAAAAAACGGGACCGGGGGGGGGCGGGAGCGGAGGGGAGTAAAAAATCGCGGGGAAGGGAGATATCCCCAAATGCCAGACTGTTTCGGATCCCCATTTGGCTTTCCACCCCGCGGTTCAATTTTTTGGACTTTTCTCCCTCGACAAGAAGACTAGAAACTTTTAGGGGTGAGGGGGTGGCAAGAAAGAGGGGGCTGCGATTCGCACCTCATTCCATGGATCCAGGAGCTACGTCTTCAAAATAAATATTGCAAGAATTGACAGCCCCAAGAATGTGCGCTCCAGAAGCCAAAACAAGAAGTCTTGCTATGACTAGCCCATGGTATTTCTCAACTGGGGAAAATGGTGGTATTGCAGAGCCTCAGCCCCGATACACTCGCCTATGCCAGCATGTTTCCACCGCTGAACGTGTCCATATATTACATCAGTCATTGGACATGGGAAAGCAGCAATAACCAGGAAAGCAAAATATATCAGCCTCGCTTGCAAACTACCGCATGCGATTTCATTCAGAAGGCTGCAGACAGTGTTTTATAGCCCGAGTCAAATGGCCACAAGGACCGTGAGGGTCTCTTTTGTTTTAGCAAAATCTATCCCTCCTAGAGGACCCCTGCCCCAGAGGGGGCAAGAAGAGCCCAGGGAGAGTCCCCAGGCAGATGTTTTTCCCAGGCAAATGTTTGTCCACGCCTTTCACCTTGCTTGCCCTGTGCTCTGTGGAGCGCTTCAGCCGACGGGTGGTGTTGAGATCCCAGCCACCTTCGGTTCCCGCTCTGGTCGCCTTCCTATCAAAAAAGGAATGCCATGTAAGAAAATAAAATAATTTGGCACAAGCAATCCTTCACTCATCACCTTCCCAACCTCTCCCAGGCAAACGTGTGTCCCCGGAGATCCCTGGCTCTGTGCTGGGAAGCGGCAGGACCCCTGTCCCCAGAATGGTAGGTGGCCATGTCCAGATCGTTCTTGCTGCACGTGACCCAGTCCCAGGAAGGTGATACCTCGCAACAGCTACCATGCTTGCTATTTCCAGATCCACCTTCTGGACATGCCGTGTCATTGATTTTCAGGCTGCTTTCCCCACTGAAATCTTACCAGATTTTCAGGGGTCTGCTCCTCGCGGGTGTCACATTTAATATATTCCATATATTAAACAGATTGTTTAACATAATCCTTCTCCTTCAAAGTATGTTTCAAATACTTAGAACCCAGATCTGTGTGTCCTCTTTCCTTGATAGGCAGCAGGCTTGCAATCCAACCCAGCAACAGTTTCAGTGCTGTTTGATGTGGGTGAGTGAAGCACGGTGAAGCAAAGGGAGGAAAACTCTGCTTGGGCCAAATCTATAGGACCTCACATAGGCACCGGGTCTTACAGGCACACCCGTCTGCAGGGATGAGAGAGAGAAAGAGGGTGCTACTCGCCCCGAGTCAAAGCGGGAGCCAGAAATAGCATTGCTTAGGCTCGCTGGGTCCTTAACAGCAGGAAAACAGAACACCCCATTAGAAACAAATAACATAAAAGAGCAAATGTGAAGACAGAGAAGCTGAGTACAGGAAGCATCCTAAGGGTTGTCAGACACCAAGGGGCAGGTGATTCACCGCAGTAGGGTATTTTTTTTAGCATTCAGACCTTTCAGGCACGTCTTTAATAAATAAACCAAGCTCACCTTTTCTTTCATGTTACAATCCATGATTATCAGGGATTTACGTACTCGGTAGAATCTATCTAAGACCAAAATATCATCTGCAAGCAGCTAAGGAGAGGCCTTCCTCAGGCAAAGGCAACAGCAGCTAATGGGCTCCTCATGGACCACGAGGGTCCATATGGGCAGTGCCCATGAAGGATTCGGGGCCAAGACCTGCAAAACCTCCAAATGCCTACGCACATCCTTAAACCCATGCGGGGGCAATCGCTGATGCTGAGCGCGAAGCGCACACACTAGTACTGGAAGGAGCAGTACTGAAGACCAGAAGCCAGACGGATGATTTGGAAACACAGAAATGAGCGTGAGGAGGAAAGAAGAGGAAAGAAATAACCCTTGTAGGCCACAGAACTAACAAAAAGATTGTCTCGCGACCCACTTGCTGCCTCCCCACACTGCCGAGCCCTCTGGCTGGGAGCACTGTACTGGGGTAGGAGCCTTTCCGCGCGTGGTCCTACAGAGAACGGCTGTGCTACATTATCATAGCCAAGTGCTCTGGCACCTGCTCCGCCTGTCGCCCTGGTTTTATAGGGACAGAGGCAAGTGGAAAGCCCGGCACGAAGCTGAAACAAGTGGTTTT